CAGCTAGAGAAATTTTTTTGACGTTGGTAGGGACCCCAGTTTGTGTGGATGGTTTTTGGTTTGGGGTGGGTAAAAGGGCGGGAAGGGTGTTTGTTTTCGGGTTTGTGTTTAGGTTTCGGTTATAGGTGGAATGAGAATATGGTTTAATGGTAGAAGTATGTTTCTCCTCAAATAATTTGGCTAGGGACACAGCTTTCAATAATGAATTGGGATTCTGAGTAATCACGTCTCTACGAATATCAGCTTTTAGGCCACTAATGAAACAATCTAATAAAGCATCCACGGTAACACCAGTAACTCTATTGGCTAAAGCAGTAAATTCCAGATAATAATCACCAACTGATCCAGATTGAGTGAGCTTGAATAAAGTAGAGCGAGGGCAGTCAAAAGGGGAAGGCCCAAATTCCAATTCCAAGGCATGAGTGAAACTTACCCAAGATCGAAAGGGACTGGTCTTCTGCATCATTTGAAACCACGGCACCACATCTTTATCCATATGGATGGAGGCAATTGTTAATCGTTGTAAATCTGGAGTAGCGTAGTACTCAAAGAATTGCTCTGCTTTGAATATCCACTGGAGCACATTAGAACCATCAAATTTTGGAAAATCTAACTTAATGTTTCGAACTTGAAATGGGGTATTCGGTGAGCTTGGTATCGTAGCATTTGAGTTCGAACCACCAGCAGCGTGAACACTGATCATCTCCTTTAGAGTTGCTTCGATTGTCTCAAACCGAGAAGTGTATGCCAAATCACGTTTTTCCATCAGCTCCAGAAGTTTCTTAACGTCAGCTCCTAGCTCTTTCAATCGAGTATTTTCAGCCATGGTGGCAATGAAAGCACCAAATGTAAGCAGCTCACAGAAAAAAACAACCAGAAAATTAAGAAGGAGCAATTTACGTAATGAAATACTTCTGTATCGTATTATGAATATAGTCGTATGGATTTCTTACAGCATGAAATTGAAGGCTAACACTTGAAGCAGTGTAGCAGATACAGAGAACAAAAGAAATTTCCCCTAAGGGCCAAGAGAGAGAAAACAGATTCTAACCACCTCTCCCCTCTGCCTTCTTTCTGATACCTATATAGATACCCCCACTCACCACACAAATTCCTTCAACATTTGATTGGGCTTCCTTGTACGCTCACTTTTTCTGCCCGCTTTGATTTCCTCATTCTTTGCCACCTGTATATTTTGTATAACGGTTTCCCCACGTTCGTTTGTCACCCAATCATCCTTCTCCTGTGATTCTTTATCCAATGACTCTTCTACCCTCGTAACATATGCACGTAATTTTCAGAAGGGTAACCACGTCTTTCAATCCTTACCAACATGGCTTTCTTCGCTTTTCTCCATGGTTTATCGAAGAACCTTCTATACAACTCTCCCGCTTTTCTTCGTCTTTCTTTCCTCGCAAATCAGCAGAAACAAACATGCACTTTTTTTGCCTTTCGTTCGTCGTGAACAGTAAATCAGCGAAAACAAACACTACGTTAATAATTTTAACCGATTCAAATAATATGTTAGAAGGAATAATGTGCCAATATTTGAGGAATCTCCATCACATGTCAATTAATGATCATCGTAATTAACAAGGTATAAAAATCGTAAGAATAGTATAAACATACAATTAACCTCACTCTTTATTGCAGTAAATTAACAAAACTAAATAACCTTTTGAGACTGTAAACCATCTCTCATAGTTATTTAACTATTTCTTCAACGTTCCCATGCTGAGACCGAAAACCATTTCTCAAAATTATTAAACAATTTCACATTTGGCCTTTGTTGAGACAGAAAACCATTTATCCCACAAGTTTAATTGGTCCCAACCCAACATGGAGAAATAACTCATGCAAACTCAAAACTCATTAAATAGTGGCACCTCAACATGCTTCCCATAACCACTTCTTCAAATCTCAGTTTAATCCCCTCAACATGCATCCTTTCGTGTTCTTTTCTTTAGCCTTATGCTCACTCTCCATTGCATCCTTTGCTGAAGCCACGAAAACTCTAAGGGGCTTCAGCGTCGACCTTATTCATCGAGATTCACCATTGTCACCCTTTTACAACCCTTCACTCACCCCATCAGAGCGCATAAGAAACGCTGCACTGCGCTCCATTTCACGGTTCAACCCAGTTGCACACACTCTAGATGAGAACAAATCACCCGAAACTATTTTGATCCCAGAAAATGGTGAACACCTAATGAGATTTCACATCGGTACCCCTCCAGTGGAAAGACTTGCTATTGCAGACACGGGGAGTAATCTTATTTGGGTGCAATGTTCCCCTTGTGTGAATTGTTTCCCACAAGACAAACCATTGTTTGAACCACTTAAATCTTCCACGTTCAACGCTTTGTCATGTGGCTCAAAACCTTGCCTATATTTTCCACCTCATCAACGTCTTTGTGGAAATGCAGGTGAGTGCATATACGGGTACGGATATTTGGAGGAATCAATCACCGCAGGACTATTGGGCACTGAAACCATTAATTTGGGTTCCAAGGTTGAGAATCAAACTGTTAATTTTCCTAATTCTGTTTTCGGATGTGGACTCTACAACAATTTATCGTTTCCTACTAGCGACAAAGTCACGGGACTAGTGGGTCTTGGACCGGGACCATTGTCACTAGTGTCACAAATAGGTGATAAAACTGGTTACAAGTTCTCCTATTGTTTGCTTCCTTTTACTTCAAACTCCACTAGCAAATTGAGATTTGGAAGTGAAGCAACAATAACGGGAAATGGGGTTGTGTCCACTCCACTCATAATCAATCCCAATTTTCCCACCTTTTACTTTCTCAATCTTGAATCCATAACTATTGGACAAAAGGTGTTGCAAACGGGTCAAACTGTTGGCAACGTAATCATTGATTCTGGGACCATGTTGACGTATATTGATCAAACCTTTTACCCCAATTTTGTAGCCTCGTTGCAAGAAGCCCTATCTGTTGAGGCAACACAGGATCTTCCATTCCCATTTAACTTTTGTTTTCCATATCGTAAAATTTTGGCTTTCCCTGATATTGCGTTTCAATTTACGGGAGCTAGGGTTTCCCTGAACCCTAAGAACCTTCTTTTTAGGGTTGAATATAGAAACATGCTGTGCTTGGCGGTAGTACCGAGCAATTTGAGTGGAATTTCCATCTTTGGAAGTATTGCACAAATTGATTTTCAAGTGGAGTATGATCTCCAAGGGAAGAAGGTTTCTTTTGCTCCAGCCGATTGTACTAAAATTTAATATAATGTTATGAAAAGAAATTAAGTATTACCAGCAAGAAGAAGGTACTCCGTGTTTATATTGTATTGAAAAAAAAATAAAATGAAATGAGAAGTTACTCATAAAAAAATAGTTATTAAAAAATAAATAAAAGATAAAATAGTTCATATAAAAATGAAAATTAAAAATAATTATTAAAAGTAAAATCCCTTTATATATTAGTATAAATTCATTAGTTTCAAGATTTTAAATTTGATTAAAAATATTTTTTCTATTTTTTTAAAATAAAAAGGTATAATGGTCTAAAAAGATGGAGACCAAGGTGGTTACTAAAAAATATATCCCTTTAGTATAAATTCATTAGTTTCAAGATTTTAAATTTGATTAAAAATATTTTTTCTATTTTTTTAAAATAAAAGAGTATAATGGTCTAAAAAGATGGAGACCAAGGTGGTTACTAAAAAATATATCCCTTTTATATATTAACTAGCAGAAAAAAGGCAGTCCGTGCCTACATTGTATTAAAAAATGAGAAATTATTCATAAAAAAGTAGTTATTAAAAAAAATAAAAGATAAAATGATTTATATAAAATAAAGTAAAATAAAAATTAAATAATAAAAGTATATTAATTTAATTGGTGTTATCATTAATCTATTAGTTTTAAGTTCTTAAATTTGATAAAATAAATATTTTTTCTAATTTTTTTAAAACAGAAGGGTATAATGGTCAAAAAATTGTGGAGACCAAGGTAGTTACTAAAAAAGGGTATCCCCTTTATATATTAGTACTAGAGGGGTAGAGGCACTTCGTGCCTCTAATAGTTATTTACTAATAAAATATTAGAAAGTTGTGTATAATTATTTAAAGAAAATTTAAGATTTTTTTTTACATCTGAGGGTATAATGGTTCATTAAAAAATAAAGACCAAAAAGCGGTTACATCTCTTATATCCCCTTTATAATAGTTATAGATATAGATAGGTGTGGTTTCTTTTCAATAAGAAGAACCGATTGAGTACTAGCAGATTTGAAAGGGGAAATTTTATTTTCAAAGATTGGTATGTTTGTCCTTTAAAATGCTTTAAACAATGTTGTACCAAATACTTTGTTAACCGGGACTTCATTTATGTGTACCAGTGTCAAAATTTGTAATTTAGAATTTAAAATTTAAAAATCAAAAATCAAAATTAAAAATTAAAAATTAAAAATTAAAAATTAGGCGTATATTAAATTTGAATTCTTAATAAAATATAGTTATTTTATACATATTTTTAACTAAATATGTAAGTTTAGTACTTTTTAACAATGATTTCTATTTTTTTCATTATTTTTTTGACGATTTTAAATTTACAAAACATATTAAAAATATAATTTTAAATTATAACTAACTCTTATCTGTATTTAATTTTTAATAGTGTGAAAATTTCAAATATTCATTTTAAAACTTAGAATCAAATAAATTTAGTCAAAAATTTAAAATAATAAATTAAAGTTATTAATTTTAAAATTTGATTTAATAAAATAATTTCAAAGGTTCACAATATTTCTACAATGAATTATTATGTTTAGTCATTTTTATAACATGTAATTATGTTAATAATTTATAAAGTAAATATTAAATTTGGTCATTTTATAAAATAAATTATGTTAAATTATTATTTTTAAATATATATATATATATATTTAAAATTAAAAATAATAAACTAAATATTTTTCTCTAATTTATTCTATTTTTACCATGAAACTATGTTAATTACTTATGTTATTCTGTTTTGTGCAACTGCATGCACAACGGCGGCGCCAAGTGCGTTTGCGTGGCGTACAAGACTCTTAGGGCTTCTCAGGAAGAGTTTTTCCTCAAAGATAAGGGTTATGGTGGTGATGAAGGAGAAGAAGAAGCAAAAGATGAGAGTGTGAGTGCTATAGAAATTGAGGGAACAAAAGTTGAAGAAGATGAAGAAGAAGGTTGTGAAATGGAAGGAAGTTCCACTGTGAAACGAAGGAGGGAGAGGGATAGGTTGTTGGAAGAAGCGAGGAATAGTGTTCCTGAAAATGGGTTTGGGAGGGTTTTGCATTTGGTTAAGGCCTTTGAGAGACTTCTCACTATGCCCAAAAGCTCAAAGGAGAAAGATCACAAGGATCATCATGATCATGATGAGCAAGAGAATGATCATGATCATGGAGAGAAAGAGAAGAAGAACAAGGTGATGAAATGGGCTTTACCAGGGTTGCAATTTGAACAACATAATAAGGCACTTGAAGTTACTGATGATGCTTCTGTTTCTGGTTCTTCTTCGTCATGCTACCCATCTGGGCTGGTTTTGACATCCAAGAACCTTGGCTTAGATCAAGGGATTTTAGTTTCTTCTTGGGATAGTAGCCGAGCAAGGTTTGACTTTTGGTTCTATTTGATTTGATTAAAGACAAAAGTTAGACGAAGTTGCTTAGGTGCTTTTAGAGTTGTTCTCCCATCACAGTTGGAGTTTCAGTTTGGTATATGTGTAATTAACGTTTGCATTTGAAGGTCAACATAGATTCTTAAGATAAAATTTTGATTATGATTGAAGAGCAACACCAAAAGTTTTTGTGGACTGTAGCTAAGTTTTGTCCTTGGATTAATGTCTCTACTCACATTTCTTAAACTGTGTGTCATTTGTTTTGGAGTTGGTTTTTGTTGATTTGTATGTTGTTGGCTTTTTTTGGTGATGCAGTGTGTCTAGCAGGACTTCTGGGGGTAGAAGGAGCAGGAGAAATGTGAGACTTTAGATGTTGTTTTTGATGTATAGATTATGTGCTAATGAAGAATGGTTATTGATTCACTGATGGGATTTTGAATTATAATGATTGGTTTTCTTCAGAGCTTGGAATCTTCCTCTGGGACGTTAGGAGGGAGGAGGTGGAATAGGAAGGAGAAGCTAAAAGTCACCAGAGCAAAACCATTTAAGTTAAGGACTGAGGTAAATTATGAGGAATGGTTGATTTTTCTATGTAGTTTTTGTTTTTAATTTTTCACTTTGAGTTTGGAGTACTACTTTTGTAATCATACCGTGTAGCAAAGGGGAAAGTTGAAAGAGGAAGAATTTATGAAGAAAGTGCAAGAGATGATGTCTGAAGAAGAGAAGATGAGGATACCAATTGCACAAGGTCTTCCATGGACAACAGATGAACCAGAGGTGAGGTCATTTTTTTCATGCAAGATCTTAGAGGTCCATATGATAAATTTGGCCTCATGTTTCAAAGAAAAAATGACAATGAAGCAATATATTTATTCTGAATTTTTAAAATTTATTCTGAATTTTCTTTTTTTAAATTACCTCTTTTATGTAAAAAAAAAAAAAAAAAAAAGGGCAAATAGAGCCTTACTTGGACTGCAATGTATAAACAATAAGTTTGGAAATGATGATTTCACATTTTCAATTAAATCTACATACTTCTCTCTCTTTTTAATCGTTTATTATTTAGCAAAATTTTATTTTTATTTATTTATTATCTTCACCTTTTAAGATAATATTCCTGTAAAAAAAATTAACATTATATTATTTTTTTTAATTATAATGTTATATTTTACCATACTTTTAATTAATTACATATTATTAACGAATATATATTTAATTTAGAATAAAAGTGAAAGAGGATAGAGTAGAAAATATCATATTTATTTAATCAAAAATAAAAGAAAATTATGTATATATAAAATTGAATGAAAAAATTATTAATAAATATTCATAAAATTAACATAAAAAAATAATAAAAAATAGTTATTGAAAGTGGTATCTCTTTTATATATTAGTATATATATTAGTATAGAAGTATAAATTCATTAGTTTCAAGTTCTTAAATTTGATTAAAAAATATTTTTTTTTAAATTTGATTAAAAAATATTTTTTTAATTTAAAAAAAAGGGTATAATGGTCAAAAAAAGTGGAGACCAAGGTAGTTACCCAAAAGGTATCTCCTTTATATATTAGTATAGATTACAAAATATTTTTAAAGTTATATATCAAATCAAAATAATATAAGTATAATCAAATTAAATATAAGTATTAAAATATTATTTAATCAATATAGTTAATATAATATATTTGTAAACATTTAAATAAAATAATATTTTTATATAGTACTAATTATATATATATTAAAGGTAATGTATAAGTATTAAAGTATTATTTAATTAATATTATTAATATAATATTTTAAGATAATATCTAAATAAATGAATATTTTATTATAAAATACTGTTTATTATATTTAATTAATGTAATGTTAAAATATGAATATAAATTATATATCTTTTAAACAAACAAATATTATAACTTATGGATGTTATTTAAAAAAAATATAAGAAGATTTTCTTTATATTCAAGGGTATAATTGTCTACTAAAAAGTGGAGATTAAAGGAGCGATTACCAAAATATATCTCCTTTATAATATACATATAATTATGGATAGTTATTTAGAAAATATATAAGATTTTTTTTTTTATATTCAAGAGGTATAATCATCCACTAAAAGTGGAGACCAAAGGAGTGGTTACCAAAATATATCCCCTTTATAATATGTATGTATAATATGTATTAAAAAATATATTATTTATACCCTTTGTAGTAACCACCTTGGTCTTCACTTTTCTTGACCATTATACTCTTTTATTTTAAAAGTATATATCATATTATACTAATATAATGGAACTTACCATTTACTTATTCAATGAACAACCAAAAATATAAATAAAATTGAATATTGTGTCAAAATTAATCAACGAATATTTTAGTATATGTACTTCACGTTCTAAATGTTTATTATACATAAATAAAGTTTATAATAAATTAATATATATATATATATAAATTATTATTTAAAATTTACATAAATAAATATATTTAAAAATATAAATAATATTTTAAATTTATGATAAAGAACTTATATCATGATATATGATTATTTATAATTATTGATAATTTTTTTAAAATGTTAAAATTTAATTTATAAATAAATATGATAAATAAAAATTAAAATAGATCAAAATTAAAAAAAGCTGTCATAAAAATGAATATTAAAAAACTTAATTAAAAATAATTATTGATATTTAATATATAAGAGTTGATTATGTATGAGTATAAGTAAAAAAGAATATTAAAAAACTTAATTATTCGTGTCTTGTCCACTCCGTGCGTGCATTGTATTAAAAGAAAAAAAAATTAAAACAATGAAAAATTACTCATAAAAAGATAGTTATTAAAAAATAAACAAAGGATAAAATGATTAATGTAAAAATGAAAACTAAAAGTAATTATTGAAAGTGGTATCCCATTTATATATTAGTATAGAAGTATAGATTCATTAGTTTCATGTTATTAAATTTGATTAAAATTTTTTATTTATAATTTTTTGAAATAAAAGGGTATAATAATCAAGAAAAGTGGAGACCAAGGTGATTACCACAAAGAGTATCCCTTTTATATATTAGTATAGATATAGATACGTGTGGTTTCTTTTCGATAAGAAGAACCGATTGAGTACTAGCTGATTTGAAAGGGGAAATTTTATTTTTAAAGATTGGTATGTTTGTCCTTTAAAATGCTTTAAACAATGTTGTACCAAATACTTTGTTAACCGGGACTTCATTTATGTGTACCAGTGTTAAAATATTCCTTGTATTCTTTTATAATAAAAGACTTCTTAATTATTTGATACAAAATTATTTTGTGCTTAGTACGTCATAATTAGTATGTCATTCTGTCCAATATCAGTGGAGATGCACGTTCACTTATGGTTAGGATTAAATTTGCGTAAATATATTATGGTGTCTTAAGAATATATGACTGCTATCTTTTTAAATATTATTGAAATCTTAAACTTGATCACATGCATCTATCATCATATATAGTACGAACTATGAGAAACACTTATATACCATAACTTGAACATGCCAATAATTAACGAAAGTAGAGTTTTAACTTCTACTCTTTTGAACAATCCTTAGGGTGAAAAGAAATTGGGTCCGTTTAGTTAAGCTTATAAAAATGTGTTTTTAAAGAATTTCTTTTTAGCTTTTCTTTAAAAGGCAGATAAGGACTGCTACCTGAAAGAAAGTAATAAATTAATAAATAAATAGAACTGCTTATTTAAAAAAAATAGATAAACTCATTAAAAAAGTATAAAATTACTTATTTTATTAAATAAAAGTTTTTTTTTAAAGAAATAAGTTTAAACAAACATATCATTATTTATCATTCAAGGTTATACTCTACCTTAAAGTCTTGATCAAGAATGAACTATGATTTAACTTAATATCACAAAATTAATTTATAAGATGATAATTATTTTTTAACTTTTTTTCTTTTTATCCATTATTCTTCAATCTAAATATTCAAAATTTGATCATATCACTAGTTGATGTAAAATATTTAACATAACTCTCACACCAATGACTGAATATTTGGAGCATAAATTTTATAGGACTTAATATTTGTATCTTGATCCGATAATAACTTGATAACAAGTAACTTTATATACACAATAATAATTAAAATAAACTATGGTACCATCTTATTATTTTTGAATAAAATACATTTCATTAAACAATGAGAAAATTATAGTTTGTTTAGGAGTTTTGTGAACTGACTTGATGAATAACCGAATAACACACTAGCTAGCAAAAACCTAGATAACTAATATAAAAAAAACTAATAGATCGATAAAATTTTTTTCATAAATTAGTAAGAAAAATAGGATACATAAAAAAATGCATAAAAATATGTCCCAACATCATCGCCAAACTAGGAGAATGGTTATATAATAACCACTGCAAGAAAACTTGTGAGTAGTTGCGGGAAGTTAGAGTTGGCCATGAGACTTACACAACTATTATAAATTGGCTTAGCCAACTCTAAGGTAACGTTATTGATCTTTTATTATTTCGTTTTAATTTATCTTTTTTTCTCAGCTACGCCCACACAAAAATCCAACTTTAAACTAACACATTGGTTGTTTAATCTCAGTTCACTTTTTACTTAGGCTACACCTTAAAATTCACTACAGCAGAGACGGCGTTCAACATGAATGGTGGTCGAAGACAGTTGAGACGATCAGAAAATCATGTGACCTTCTTCGTCTCAAGGTCAAGGTTTTCAGAAGCATATAGAGAGGTGGATCTGTGGAAAATATTCCAGAAGTAGGGAAAAGTTAGAGAAGTATTCATCGCGAAGAAAAGAAACAAATGGGGTCAGGTGCTTGGCTTTGTAAGGTTTGCGGATGTGCAAGACGTTAGGGCTTAGAATATCAGCTAGACAAGATCCGCATTGGCAACACTAAGCTGAATGTCAATATTCCAAAGTATTAGAGAGGATCTTGGAGAAAAGAGGCGAAGCAAGGAACTCAAAGTGTGCCTACGCATGATGACGGGCAACAACGAAAAATGAAGTTAGCGAAAATACACATAAAAGGGGAGCTTGAATATGTGTGTGTGAGAACAAAGGCATTTTAAAAACGTTTTCGCGAGGGACTCATTCTTCATCCAGTAAAAATATTATTTTGAAAGCTTAGTAGTAACTGTGCAAGATAAGTTCAAAAGATTTTTGCGTCCGAAGATTTATCGTCTGCATACGAGAAATGTTTCTTAAATGAAAACCTATTTCTTAAGAGAGAAAAAATTATTTCTTCAGATAATGATTTAAACAAGTGTGTTTTTCGTCTAAGGGTAGTTTCATTTAAGAATAAGTAATTGACGAAGTTTTCACTATGATTTGGCAGGTAGGTAAAATTTCATCTAAAATATAAATAGATAGTGCAAGTGTTTTCATAGTAGTTCGCTTAAACTGAGTTACGTCTAGTCTCCTTTATATGAAATGTTCCACTAGATATTCAATGAAGTACAAGTATTGTTTGTTCAGCCTCTTCAGGCTCGCAGTGAGTATTATAGACCACCCAAGTCACGACCACTCCTGGTCGACCAACTTTACTCATTGGTCCTAGTATTCTTTAATCAGCCTCTTTAGGTCAGTAGTGAGTATTCTAGACCACCCAGGTAACGACCACTCATGGTCCCAAGTATTCTCAATCACTCCTAGTTCATTAACTTTACTCGTCGACGCTAGTATTCTTTGCTTAGCCACTTCTGACTCGCAATGAGTATTCTTTGACAAGCCTCTCCAGGCTTTTTTAAGTATTCATTCCCTAACCCCTTCAGGCTTTCCAAATGATGAATGAATGTTTTAGTTCGAGTATTTGGGTTACTCTCACAGAAAGGATACAAGGGTTTACAACACTCACTAAGGTATATGATCCTAAGTTAATCTTAGAGTCCCTTAGTCTACAAAGATAATTACATCAATGTACATTTGACTCTAGAAGCTCTATCTCTAAAGTCTTTGCTTCATGGGCTAGATATCACTCTTTGTCTAGCCTGAACCAGTCTAAGCCAAACAGCCAACCTTTAGGTTTGAAGTTGTGACATATATATAGTCTTATAAAATTTTCCCGTTGCAAGTGTTCATTGAAGTGGATATAGTTGTTCATGACTAGTTTGATCTTTAATTTAATGCTCAAGATCTTGCATTAAATGTTGCTTCCTGTTTATAGGCATTGCGTGAAGTCTTCTTTTCTTTGTTAGCAGCAGTGTCTGAGTTTAGCAAAGACCTAGGAACTTTTTTGTCCTTTTTCGATTTAGAGCATTGTCCTTATCTGAAAAAGTAATTATACTTTTTCTGACACATGCATGCTTTTTCTTCTGAACTTGATTATCTCTTTCTTTTCTTCTTTTATTTCTTGCGCATTCATTTTGAGAGCTTTTATATGATCGTAGATGATGCCTAAGTTGTCCTGAGAGACTTGATTTCTTAATTTCTTGTATGGTTATTTTCGTTTGTGTTTGTTAGTCCTATACGTCTCAAGTCTTGACCTTGGTCTGAGCAATGATGTTGATGCTTTGATTTTCTCTATGGTATGGTCAACACTGTGGATAGGCAGACTTTGTTTCCGTTTGGAATGTCTTTCAGTTTGTGTTGTCCTTCATTTGATGCATGGTTGACTTTCTTTTGATCTTTGACACATGCTTCGTCTGATTTCTTATGTTACACTTGATGTTGTCTTTGACACATCTTCATCTGACATTTGATCAACATTGTTCGTTGCTTATGTAGTGATTCATTTATCATTTGGCTTGACTTAGTTTGATCCTTGTGCTTTGCTTTGATTAATCTTTATCTAATACTTGAGGCTTTTCATCTAAGATCTGTATCGTCTGAAGCTTGGGCATATTCTTTCTTATGCTAGGCTTGGCTCCTTTTTCTATTCTTCAACTTGTCTGTACTTATGTTTTTTTAAAATACTAACACACTTGTTAGAAATAACGTGTATTATATTTGTCTCATTCAAAACCTTGCTGGGAATTGTTTCGTCTGACTCAATAGAAAATGCAGGTCCACATACATAGCAAGAGAACTACGAAAGCCTACATAGAAGTGCTAAAACAACAATGTGAAAATGCTGTTTGGAGAAAGAAAAATGGAATGAACCAGAATACCAGTGAAGAAAAATGGAATGGCATGAATATTCAAGCGAGGGAGGCTCATTCAGAATGGTTAAAAAAAGTTGGGTAGGAAGATTGATTGATCAATCTATGTTCGATAAGTTACAAGAGGCTTGGATATCATACGAAACGCAGGAAATTAAGGTAAGGTATATGGGGGATGACCTTGTAATAGGTATGGATGAAGAAATGATAAAAGAGAAGACATAAGAGGACAATAGCTTCTTGTCCCTACTACACTCAGTCTAGAGGTGGAGTCCGGAGATTAATGTTGGTAATAGACTAGTATGAGTGCATTGTTATGGTGTTCCGATTCAAACCTGGGGTCATGAGGCATTTTCCAAGGTTGTTAACATGTGTGGTACGTTAATAAAATTAGATAATGATACGATCACTCTCCAAAGGTTAGACTATGCACCCCTGCTTTTCCAAACCTCGGACTCCCAAATAATCCACTTCAATAACCTGGTTAAAATCAATGGTTTATTACGACGGGTGAGAATCATAGAGGAGAAACCATTGAATAAACCTTTATGTAATTGACCAAATTTGAATTTGAACTCCCAAATGGGACAAATGAAAGCCAAAAATGGGACTGCAATGGAATGACAAACGATATTGGGGTTGAGCTATAGGAACAGATTATGGAAACAAATCATGAATGTATGGGAGTTATTTCTGACACAATAGGCTACGTAAATGTTGATATGTCCAATGCAACAAAGTCAATGGAAACACATTTGGAAGACCACGAACTAGCGAAAAATGATGCAATGAATATTAAGCTAATTGGTAGAAGGGCCCGAGTGAGCAAATCTGAGAGAAAATAGCGTGTGGGCCCTACTCCTTCGTTGGCTCAAACACACAATGAAGTGACAAATGGCCTAGGAAATAATATAGCTTGCCCCTAATCTGAACCAAATTTGGGCTTTAGTTTGTCTACGACCCAATTGAGCACCAATTTCATAATGGGTTTAGGGTAATGGGAATACCCATCCCCAAAATTCAGATACCAGTCCTAGTATGATGAGATCAAAAAGCTTAGAGCTACATACTCAAGTCGGAGGGGCATTAGTACATCTAGCATTGGGTTGGGATCAAAGTGAAGGATTACAACTACAGGGAGATATACAAGCAGTGAAAGGTGGGGATACAAAATTTGAGTCAAAAACCATTTTTGGTGCTATGTCTGTGGCTACGTCAAAGAGGAAACAAGTAAGAAAGAAGGTTGAGCCATTATTTCAATCTCTTAGCAACTCTCTATCTGATTCAAATATCTTTAATTGCAATTGAGTATTCTGGCTAAAAAAAGATGCGACAGAAGCGCATAAACTATGGGAATTAGGGAAAGCTCTTGGGGTCTCATATGCAGGGGACGAATTACATATGACAGAGAGACTACAATGGTTGGAAGAAAAAGATCAGGCAGACAAAATCAAACAAAAAGAGAGAAACAAGGAGGGGCGTCAGAGTTACATAAATGATAATCTTATCATACAATCACTACTAGAAAATTATTGTTCAACGTCGCCATATTTACATCAAATTCACTAAAACTGATGTAAAAAAAAATGTGGTGGCATTTTTGTAATTAAATGGTAAACATAAACATATTTACATCGGTTCTATGAAAAAATGATGTAAATATGAAGTATTCTACATCGATTTTGTTAGGGACCGATGTAGAATTAAAAGTCAAAAGTATTCTACATTGTTTTTGTTCGTAAATGATGTAGAATTGAAAATCCAAGATCAAACCCTCTTCGACTGATCATCAATTGATGATCGAGGAAGCACTCTTAAGCCCTCTTTGACTGAAAATGATCCAAGAAGCTCAATCCCTTTTTGACGAACGACGATCCAGGAAGCACAAGCCCTCTTCGACGAACAAAGATCTAGGAAGCTCAAGCCCTCTTCAACGAGCAAAGATTCAGGAAACTCAAGCCCTCTTCAACAAATGAAGATTCAAGAAACTCAAGCCATCTTCACAAACAACAAAAGTTAGTGAAGCCTTTTGTTGTTGCTTATCTGAGTTTGCTGGTGCGGTCGCCGCAGGTCCTCAAGTAACTAGGGTTTTTTGTTTTCGCTCTAAACTCAAATTTATACAGGTATCATTCTTACTTATACGCTCAATCCCTCTTCTAAAGGGTTTTTACTTCTATTAACTTGGTCTTGATGTTGAAATCATGAAAAGATTAAGAAAAAAAAATTATCGTGGTTAATGACTTGGTGTGACATTGGTTTATACTTCTATGTTAAACCGAGAACATAGTATGACATTTTCGAAATTGAAAATGAAAACAAAAAATGAAAGTAGAAAATGTTTTCCCAAACGAAACGATTCCTTTTGCTTGTTTTACTTTTATTTTTTTGAGGGACATCTCTGAACTCATCAATATTCCAATGTTTATTTGAAAATGCAGAGTATGGGGTGAACAAGGTGCCCCCATTATAGGGACCCAATTCCATCGGAGTGTTACAATCTTTCAATATTTTATCAACAATTATCAACACACAACATTTTCATCAAATAATACAACTCATACTACATATTTTCAACTCATTTATCAAGCCAACTTACGCATATAAACAACATATGATGGAAATACTAGGAGAAGTGAGGGATGTTCTTCTCCTTGGATTTGCCTA